GAAAAAAAGAGCACTTTTTTGTGTGGGGGACATTTTCTTAAATTGCAATATCTGAAATAGCTATCTATTTTTACAAATTCAAACTCAAAATAAAGCTGTGCTCTAAAATATAATCATTATCAAACTATCCAGAATTTGATAGAAGCTAAAATAAAATTACGATCCATATCTGGAAATATGAAGTTTTTCTATTAAAGGAATAGCCCAGAGGGTAGTAGAATGTGGTTATTTTTACTTTATTTGCAAAATAGATAATCTAAATAAACATCCCAAGCCATCATTTTTAAAATTTATTCACAACACTAGACTTTATAGCCCTTTTTATCTAGCATTTTTGCTCCTGAAATCCGTCTGCTACAAAATGTTGCCGGTAGCGCCCCCATACAGGTGTGACGCAGCACCATGTATATGGGTCAGGAGATCAGCCATTATTCTAGTAAACAAAGTGAACAGCTGGTGTGCATTCATTAGGTATTGTGCATTTACTGTGACAAATTTCAATGTCTGGTGACAGTTTTAGCCTGCAGGGGACTACCAAACGACAGAGGAAAGATGGAGGCACTCGATGTGCAGCGTGGGGATGCGATAAATCCAAACTGAAAGACAATATTGGAATGTTTGAGTTTCCAGATCAGGAGAGATCGCCGGACCGCTTCCGATTTTCGTGTAGTTTGGTTAGCCGTACTCGGAAAGATTTTAGATTCAGTAAAGGGACGTCGCGGTTGTGTGCCGATCATTTTGATTCCGATTAAATCGAGAATTGGATGCTCAAAGTTAATGAAGGAGGAAGACGAGTCGTCAGATTCGGCACTATAACATGGCTCAAATTGGTATCCTTTCACCAATTCTCCTCCTACTTCCAGATCCCTATCTTCTAGTTTATCACCAGTAAGATCTATTGATTCTGTAGACACAGAATAGAGCTCTTTCACTTTCAACTTCACTGGAACTGCTGTAATCCTTGTTGCTCGCCATGTTGTTGGACAATGGTTATACATGGTATGACGTCACACGACTAGTGGTGGCGCCACTGGTCGTTTTTGAGGCAGACAAATTTTCGGGGGCTTACAAAATCATGTTTATTTTTATTATCCGGGTCTAAATTTTCGATTTGATTTTATTAATGGATAAATATTAACCTAGGCCAACTGTGGATGCAAAATAATGCACCAGTTCTAGGCTATTCCTTTAAACTTCTATTAAAATGCTCTCTTCATGTTGATGTTAACATTCAGTCAGCCATGAAAGTTAAACTGCCATAATTATAGTTCAGATCAACAAAATTATTTTTGTATAGCCTATGTGATGTAAATGGTTTTATTAGACAGAGATCAATTACCTCTTAAATTTCACATGGCCATTCGAATTTCTAGCACAGATCTTTGAGGTTAAAAATACCTAAAATGAATATAAATCATATTTATTGAGAATCATAACCAAAGTATCAATAGTTTCCTCAACTAAGAGAAAATTGTGGTGTCTAATGAGGCTAGCAGATCATCAAAATATTATATAACTGTAGGAATTTGAACATTATACTTTCTTTTGATTTAAGTAGCATTTATCAAGTCACAAATGGGTTTATTTTCTCAGCACGATCCTCTGGAAACATGGGCTTCTCTTTTGTGGGAAGCTGTATAATAAAGTATTAATCTGAACGTACAAGCAAAGAATGCAACAAGATATCAAACCACTTACTGTAAAGAGTACAAAGAACTTCTGATTATTTTCACCCACACAGTTGTTAACCCAAGGGCAGTGGTGATCCATTTTGCGAATGCACCGCTGACAGACGGAGCAGTGGTGGGCGCGCTCAGGCTTGATGCTGCAACACTTTGGACATTTGAAGATCACTTGACCTTCCCGCAGCCCCATGCGCTGGATATTTTCTCGTGTGGCGTTGCCCTTTGGAACAGCTCCCTGGTAGATTAGTGACATTAGTGTCTTCTTTGGGACCTCAGAGGACAATTTATTTTTCAAACTAATGTAGGTACATAGGAATGTATGTATGTATATACTTATATATACATATATATATCTATGAGAGAGAGAGAGAGAGAGAGAGAGAGAGAGAGAGAGAGAGAGAGAGAGAGAGAGAGAGAGAGAGAGAGAGAGAGAGAGAGAGAGAGAGAGAGAAGAGAGAGAGTGAGAGAGGAGAGAGAGAGAGAGAGAGAGAGAGAGAGAGAGAGAGAGAGAGAGAGAGAGAGAGAGAGAGAGAGAGAGAGAGAGAGAGAGAGAGAGAGAGAGAGAGAGAGAGATGTATAAGTGTGTATGTATATGTATATGTATATGTATATGTATATGTATATGTATATATGTATGTATGTATATGTATGTATGTGTGTGTGTGTGTGTGTGTGTGTGTGTAAGGAAAACAGCCACAGTAAGAAATGAATATGAAGCGTAACGCTTCGAACTCTTCACAAGTTCTTCTTCAGACGTTCCCTTCAGTGTACAAACACATACACACACACACACACACACACACACACACACACAC